CACACATACCTGGCTGGACTGTCCCGCCGCCTGCGCAGCGTCACTGTACGTGACTCACGTCGCAGGCTGGGCCGCCGGATCTAACCATAAACTGTCAACACTACAGGTAAGTTAACACTAGCTAACACTACAGGTAAACTGACACTACAAGTAAGTTAACACTAGCTAACACTACAGGTAAACTGACACTACAAGTAAGTTAACACTAGCTAACACTACAGGTAAGCTGATGCTAGCTAACACTACAGTTAAGCTAACACTAGCTAATACTACAGGTAAGCTAACACTAGCTTACACTACAGGTAAGATGACACTAGCTAACACTACAGGTAAGCTGACACTAGCTAACACTACAGGTAAGCTGACACTAGCTAACACTACAGGTAAGCTGACACTAGCTAACACTACAGGTAAGCTGAAGCACTACACACAGAGTTATCAGCGACTTAACAGGGTATATTAGCACTAGCTAACACTACAGGTAAGCTGATGCACTAACATACAGAGCTAAACTAGCTACAGCGTACAGGTACTAAACACTAGCTAACACATACATGTAAGGTTGGCACTAGCTAACACTAGCTAAGCACTACAGGTAAACTTGATGCAGCTAACACTAGCGAGGTAAATGACCACTAACACTACAGGTAAGCTGACACTAGCTAACACTACAGGTAAACTGATGCTAGCTAACACTACAGGTAAACTGACACTAGCTAACACTACAGGTAAGTTAATACTAGCACTACAGGTAAGCTAACACTAGCTAACACTACAGGTAAACTGATGCTAGCTAACACTACAGGTAAGCTGACATAGCTAACAATAGCTAACACTACAGGTAAACTGACACTAGCTAACACTACAGGTAAGGCTGCATGCTAGCTAAGCAATTACAGTAAGGGCTGACACTAGCTAACACTAGTAATGGGCTAACACTAGCTAACACTACAGGTAAGCTGACACTAGCTAACACTACAGGTAAGCTAACACTAGCTAACACTACAGGTAAGCTGATGCTAGCTAACACTACAGGTAAGCTGACACTAGCTAACACTACAGGTAACTGATGCTAAGCTAAACACTACAGTAAGCTGACACTACTAACACTACAGGTAAGACTGACACTAGCTACAACTACAGGTAAGGCTTGAGATGCTAGCAACACTACAGTAAGGCTGACACTAGCTACACACAGATAAGTTAACACTAGCTATAACACTTACAGGATAAGCTGACACTAGCTAACACTTACAGGTAAGCTACACTAGTACACCGTAGCGTAAGCTAACACTAACAGGTAGAGCTTAACAGCTAACTAACACTACAGGTAAAGGCTAACATAGCTAACACACAGGTAAGCTGACAAGCTAACACTACAGTAAGACTACACGCAAAGCTAACACAAGGTAAGCTGACACTAGCGGGTAAATAGGAGCTGAACACTAGACTGCAGTACATGATGCTAGCTAACACTACAGGTAAGCTGACACTAGCTAACACTACAGGTAAGCTGACACTAGCTGCTACTACAGGTGAATTGACGCTAGCGTCATTTCTTGTTGCAGTGTGGACCGCTTCCCTTCAGCCGTCTGGACTTCCTCAGGTGCTGGTTGCTGCGTGAAATCTCTACCTACTACGTGTTTGTCGCCGCGGTGATAAGTCCGACGCTCAGCTGGGGGTGTGGCGCCACCTACCGGCTGAGATGGGGCGGCGCCGCCATTGAATGCCATAAGAAAAAGTGAGGAGGGGTTGCCGTTGCTGCGCACAGTTTTCGTACGTGACCTTGAGAACCGAGAAAGTCCTTGAAATCCTGAAATGACATTTTTCCGGGTTCTGGAAAATCATGGAAAATAGGCTATTATTGTGTGTGGACTTTGAATGTTTCGTAAAAATGTGTTGTTTTTGGGTGTATGTTTGAGACGTTTTTAGTCTCAAGCTTTTGTTCTGCGCGTGGCACAGACACATGCATTCCTAATACACGTGAAACTCCATCTGTTCTCTCAGGACTCTTGTTCAATTGCGTCCAAGGTGTGATTTTTTTGTATCACGGACTTATATAAGTCGATATGTGTAGATGTGGAAGTGTAGATTGATAGAATTGAAGGTAGATATGGAAGTATAAATTTATAAAGATTTATAGAAGTGCAAATACACAGATAAATAGTCAAACCTGTATGTGAGGGCTATTCAGGTGATACCCTTTACCTTGAAGGAAAGGGAAAAAGCTTCTTATGGACAATTGTCTGTTCAATAGTGGTAGTTTCATTGTAAAACTACCACTCAAGAGAAATGCCATAATTGCCCTTTACCGAGGGGTGTCTGTTAATTATATATATTATATAGTTTCATTATAAAACTGCTACTCAAGAGAAATGCCCTAATTGCCCTTTATTATTATTAGCTTATCTGACGAAGTCAGATGCAGATTGTAGAATTGCATGAGCGTGCATGCGTCCGTGCGTGCGTCAACAGTTGGGCACAAATCTAAACGGCTCGACGTACGGATTTGAAAGTCGGGACGTAGGGGGGGACAAAGAGTGCAAAGGTCAAGAGGTGGTAAAAGAAGGGGAACATTCCTCCTTAACTAAGTATAGGAGGAAATGCAGAATTGCGCACAAATTTGAACGGCTCAAAGGTATGCTCTTAAATATCGTGTATAATGTGATGGCAGGAAACCCATCACCAGTGGCAAAATTGGAGTCACATGGTCAAAGGGCAGTGGGGGAAAGGTCAGATATCAGACATTTCTGAGGACATGGCTTAATGACAGAGTGAAAAACGTTTTGTTTCAGCGCTGACCTACCATTTTATAACTTTATTGAAAGCCATAAATGTGCTTTCCACTGACGTGCGAAGAAAGAGTGACCTCTTTTGACCGCTCAAGAGGAGGTCAAACATGGATTCTGAACTGCCTCAATGATGTCACAGTGTTCTCATATTCATGCGCACATCCATAATCTGGAAGCCAGTATGTCTGGATGCCAACGGCTACAGCACAGGATTACGGCTCAAAGGTTCTGGATCGAATCCCATCAGATTTTTATTATTTACCTGTTTTCTGTATTTTCCATCTTTATCCTTTAACTATTTCTTGCAATTAAGGCAAATATTTACATGATTTATTTTACAACAATTCAATAAAACAATTATTTTTACAACAATTAAATTTATTATTTTTTAATAGGTGTAAGGGTTAGGGTCACAATGCACATCAAAAAGGAGTTTCAGGCACGCGATTTGTATCAACGCAATGATTTGGAGGTATGCAGAATGCAGAAGTTGCTGATATGTTGTAGCTCAACGGCGTATGCTGCATATTGCGCCTAACAAAGGTGTCACTACGCACGACTTAAATGTTACGTTTATAACCGTAACAACAGATCTCAGATGAGCCCAGACGCTCTGCGGCTCTTGTTATAGACAGGTGTCTGTCTTGTAGATGTGATACTGTGAACGCGGGTTTGACAGTAGAGGGGTAAACTTACTGATAGAAATGAACGGGTGTAAGTGTTTGCCGTGCTGTGGTACTGAGACGTCGTCGTCTTTTAGAATTATGTAAATTAGTTTTTCATTATTATTTTTAAATATACGCAGAGGTGTGACGTTTGACTGTGATTGAATGCTTACGTGATTAAACTCATTGTATCGAATATGTGTTATAATGGCGTCATTAAAAGTCTAGTGAGTTGTAGGTTGACTATCCCTTGTGTGCGTGCGTGTGCGTGCGGCGTGTGTGTGCGCGCGCGCGGTGTGTGTGTGCGTTTGGCGTGCGTGCGTGCGTGCGTGTTGTGTGCGTTTGTGTGTGGTGCATTCGCTTGCGCGTGTGAGTATGCTGTTATAAACGTGCGTGCGTGCGTGCGTATCGATCTCAAAGGGGTAAACTTACTGATGGAAATGGCCGTGTGTAAGTGTTTGCCGTGCTGTGGTACTGAGACGTCGTCGTCTTTTAGAATCATGTAAATTAGTTTTTTATTATTATTTTTAAATATACGCAGAGGTGTGACGTTTGACTGTGATTGAATGCTTACGTGATTAAACCATCAGTTGTATCAGAATATATGTTATAAGGGCCGTCATTAAAGTCTAGTGAGGTTGTAGGTTGACTCTCCCTTGTGTGCGTGCGTGTGCGTGCGGGCGTGCGTGTGTGCGCGCGCGTGTGTGTGCGTTTGCGTGGGTTCGTGCATGCGCGCGCGTTTGCGTGCGTGCGTGCGTGCGTTTGTGTGTGTGTGCACGCGTGTGTATCTGTTAACGTGCGTGCGTGCGTGCGTGCGTATCGAGCTCAAGATAACTATCTCGTAATCGATGTGAAAGGCACATCATTATCAATCATCTCCTACGATTTATTCGATGGTTTTCTTGTGATATTTGAGATAGCATAATAATACATTTTTGTGGATGCTATTCGGACATCTGTTACAACAAATAAAAACTTACTTCTTTTGTGCTCATATGTATATTTTGTTTATGCTCTTGTTCACTAGTCAATTTTACTACACAAAAACATTCTACATGGTCGATCTTAGATAACTAGTCGTGCGTGTTGTTCTCTCTAATTTAAATGTATATAATTTTAACCAAATCCCATTATATATAATACAAACGCTGGTGTCGTTTGCATTTGCAGTTTTTATAACTTACATTATGGGAAAATATTGTAAGGTTGGGTGTTTTATCATTATTAAATATGGTCGTGTTTAGCGCGAAGGGCAAGAGAAATGTAGATAGGCTTACTACAGTTTTACATGGTCAACAGGCAATGGCGACGCACGTGCGCTCACACAAACACGCACGCACGCACACACACACACACACACACACACACACACACACACAAACAAAACACACACACAACACACAACACGCAAACGCGCGCGCGCGCACACCACAACCACACACGCACAAACGCACGCACGCGCGCACACACACACGCACACACGTTCACACACACACACGCGCGCCCACGGCACGCACGCACCCTACACACGCGCACAACGCACACGCAGCACAACACACACGCGCGCACGCACGCACACACACCAGGGCGTAGCTACGGGGCCTGGGGGCACGAGCCCCCCCCCCAAACATTTTATTTTTTTGCCCCCAGTGCCCCCCACTGAAAATTCATGCTTGATAAAAAAAAATTGAATTAAAAACAATGGCCGTTAGGACAGTAAAATACAAAGAAAAATTATATATGTCCCCCCGCCACGAAAATGTAAGCCCCCCCCCCAGTGCCCCCGCTGAAAAAAATCGTAGCTACGCCACTGACACACACACCGCCCGGGCCGCGGTACGGAAAAAATAGACGCACCCCGCGTACGCGCGTACACACGCAAATACACATGCCCCAGAGGCCGCCCGGATGTCGAAAATATACGCCTGTATTATTCACCTTGACATAGCCAACTCTCCCATAATGCATTCTGGTATGGCGGGGAAACAGTATGGCGGCCTTGAGTAGTAGTTTATTATAAACTTCAGTTTAGATATACATTTGTATGTCATGATTTGTCGTGGTGTTCACTGTACGTGTTGTCAAACATAGCGAGTATAGACAAACTAGGTAGATATGGGATTTTTGAAGAGAAAAATGATTCCCAAACCGAAGCTAAAGGTAAGCATAGGAGCCATAGATGATAGAAAATGTTGCAAGTTTGGGACGAGCTTTTATTGTACAAAATATACACTGATTAATACTAGCCGTTGCTACCTTATAAGTTATAACCTCATACAGATTACTCTTCAAAGACCAAGGGACCATATCGAAGACGCAGATAGAAAAAGTTGATTAAATAGAAAGATAAATAACTGCTGATCACACTACTACTTACTAGCTACTACTAGGTCTAGTACTAGCAGAAGCTTCAGTTTTGCAAATAACATAATATTAATAAACATAAGATCCGGTTGCGTACGGAGGACTCATTAAGAAAAATTACGTGGGTTTATAAGTGAGCTGAATGGTATGATCTGGTATGAATGGAGTGATCTGTGCGGGGCAGATCACGCAACTGTATAACTTCATAGTCAGCAGTACAGGCACTGTCACTTGACTCTGTAACAGTTTTAGTAAGGTACACATGCAGTAACGTTGCCCATGGACCACGGTCCTGTACCCTTGATTTTATTTTTAATAACATTCTTAGGATTAGATTAGGACTATAGCCTATAGGTACGTTAAGGAATAATGTTCACTTTCTGTTTTATATTACGTTTTCGTCCTGCGCACACATCACAAAGGTAACGACACACAATTATGTTGACATGTATTGTATATACCCCACCCACCCACCAACACACACACACTCCCAGTATACCAGCATCCATTGGGAGTATGGGATTGAAGGTTGGAGATTGAAAAGTGAACTGTCATTCACCCCAATGTGTGATGTACCCCTACTCCTTACAGCTTCCAAGTCCTGTGATCGGAAAAGCGACGGTCTACCATGCTCTTGTGGTGATATTTCTCGAGTTCTTTGCCTGGGGTCTACTTACCTCACCCATGATCACAGTGAGTATGGTATTAACTAATGCCTAGCGCAGACTTGCTAATTTTTCATGCAACTCGGCTGCGATTCTAGAATCGCAGTCGAAATTGCTGTGAAATTGCTATGTCTGCGGGAACGTGCAACTGCAACTCGTAGCGATTCTGGTCGCTTGCAACGAGTTGCAAGAAATCAAACTGGTTTGATTTTCAGCAACTCGTCGCTCCCAATCGCTTCGAAGTCGCATGTGTGCGCACACACGATGAAGCGTGTGACCGATCGCATGCGGTTGCAGGTTGCAGCGACGAGCAACCAAAAGTCGCAAGTCTGCGCTAGACTTAAAGCCGATGAATAGATAGCTAGTCATGTGGATGTACCGTGGAGCAGCATCGGTGCGTCGCGTTCACGTGTTAATGCAGAAGACGTAACTCTGAAAGAGAGAAAAGGAAAAGATGCCGCGTAACCTGTTGTCGGTTTTGTGATTGGTTGATTATTTTTCCTATAGGTGGCAGGTAAGTCACGGCCAGCCCTGCAGCCATTCTGCGATGGCCTTTTTGTCAACATACAATAAAAGGAAGCTGCTAGACTGAGCGCAGTCAATTCCCCCGACTATAGATATCATTCAATACAGACAGCTAATCGCATAATTGTTGGTGTCTGATGATCGATGAAAATTTTTTTCCAGGTATTAAAGGAAACTTTCCCACATAAGACCTTCCTGATGAATGGATTAATTCAGGGCATAAAGGTAAGGAATTAAGGTATCCACTGTCTCATTGATACCATAAACAGGGCCTAATCCAGGCCATTTTTCATACCGAATACCGGCACCAAATTTACGACCTCTAGCAAAATGCCCAAATTATAAAATTCATAAAACGCCAAAATTAGTAGAGCTCTGATGCAGATCTCTATGTTTCTATCGTTATGTAGGCACTGTTTTATAATAAAATGCTCATATAAGATCTATAATCTATTATCTGAATAAAATGTGTCGACCAAACGCACAATTTATTGTGATAGATAAGTATATATATAATTTTTTTAGGCTTGCTATGCTCGCCATGGGTGCTCATATTAAGCAGCTGGATTAGCCCCTGGTAAAGTTATTATTTTTCCCCCTAACGCAGAACCTTACGTATTCACGACAGAGTCGTCATCGGAAAAATAGCTATCGTTTCTTTACCGCTGTTATTGAGCGTAGAGCAGTAAGCTCATCCTCGTGCTTTGTGATCGAGTAATGTAGTTACACAGAACGGCGGCGAGCACGGATGCATGCTAATAGTTCGTTGCAGATTTCTATGTGCATTTGCACCGCCACCAGCGGGAGCTGCTGCTGACTCGCGCGCAGATAGAGCTGGCGATGCCGATTAAATGCTGTTTTGTTTCTTCGTGCAGGGATTGCTATCATTCCTAAGTGCGCCTCTGATTGGCGCGCTCTCTGACATGTGGGGACGAAAGTCATTCCTACTGTTGACGGTTTTCTTCACGTGCGCTCCAATCCCGCTGATGCGAATTAGCCCGTGGTATGTGTTCGTTTGTGTGCACGCATGAGTGTGCTTACCTGCATGCTATATATTTACTTTATAATAATAATAATAATAATAATAGTAATAATTATTGTTATTATTCTCATTATTGCTTCATTCTGTTCATTTTTTAATAGGGAAATACAGTAAATGTAAACATGTTCAGAAATAATATTATAATAATATATAATAGTATGCGCTTCATGCATGCAATGTTACAGCTGAATATAATACATCATAATAACGATATGCGCTACATGCATGCAATGTTACAGGTATTTACAATATGTGATAATAATAGTAGTAATAATAATAATAATAATAACAAGGATGATAATAATAATATACGCTGCGTGCGTGCTGCCTTCTTGCAGGTGGTTTTTCGCGATCATCTCCATATCCGGTGTCTTTTCCGTGACCTTCTCCATTGTGTTCGCTTACGTCGCAGACATCACAGACAACGACGAGAGAAGCTCAGCGTACGGGCTGGTAAGGGCTGTGGGGGAGAGATCCTGCCTCTATACGGGGCTGGTAAGGGCTGTGGGGGAGAGATCCTGCCTCTATACGGGGCTGGTAAGGGCTGTGGGGGAGAGATCCTGCCTCTATACGGGGCTGGTAAGATAAGAATCGGCCGTCGAGCTATTCAACTGCCGGGCGCAATCGCCTACACGCCTCTCAAATAGCGGCCAATTTGGCGTTGCACTTCTTCAACATCAGCCAAAATCGCCATCGCAGCTATCAACAAACGGGCTGCCAGCAAATCGCCTCGGCAGCTATCAACGCCGGGCCAATCGCGTTGCGGCTTCACGATTGTGCCTTATTTTATTAATCTCTCATTTTAATTCTCGTAGACGAAACGGCATGACATTTCACTATTTGGCTACTATGCTCGCGCACACGGATATCGTTCAGACTTCCAGGACATGCGCGGCACACACGGACAACAAGCGCGATACACGCAGCAACCGCCGGAGTCTCGGAGACGCCGACAGCCCGGCAGATGACAGAGAAACATGCTCCATATAGAGGCAGGAGCTCTTCCCGCACTAGCTCCTTCCGCAGCGTCGTATAGACAGGAAACTCTCCGCCCACTAGCTTACTCAGCCGGCTATATAGAGGCAGGATCTCTGCGCCCGCACCAGCTTACCAGCCTCGTATAGAGGCAGAATCTCTCGCCCCAACAGCCCTTACCAAGCCCGTATATAAAGGCAGATCCTCTCCCCACACACAGCCATTAACCAGCCCCGTATAGAGGCAGGATTCTCTCCCCCATCAGCTTTTTTAGCCAAGCCCGTCTAGAGCAGGAAGCTCTTCGCCCCACAAGGCCCTTACCAGCCTATATAGAGGCAAGGAATCTCTCGGCCCCACAGCTTAGCCAGCCCCGTATATGAGAGGATCTCTCCCCGACAAGCCCTTATCGCAGCTCTGTAGATAGATGGCAGGAAAACTCTCCCCCAGCAGCTTAGCCAGCCCTGTATAGATGGTGGGATCTCCCCCCCCAAGCGCCTTACGCAGCCCTGTATAGAGGCCAGGATCTCTCCGCTCACAGCTTTACAGCCCAATATAGAGACAGGATCTCTCCCCCACAGCTTACCAGCTCTGTATAGAGGCAGAAGCTCGCCCCCACAGCCCTTACAGGCCCCGTATAGTAGGCAGGATCTCGCCGCCCACAGCCCTTAACAGCCCCTGTATAGAGGCCAGGATCCTCTCCCCCACAGCTTACCAGCCCGTATATGAAGCAGGCATCTCTCCCCCCCACAGCCCTTACAACCCGCTATTAATAGAGGCAGCGAGTCTCTCCCCCCACAGGCTTAAACGAGCCCTTGTATAGAGAACAGGATCTCTCGCCCACAGCCGCTTACGCGAGCCCCGTATAGAGGCATGATTCTCTCCCCCACAGCTTACGCAGCCCCGTATAGAGCAGGATCTGCTCCCCCACAGCCCTTTACCAGCCCCTGTATAGAGGGCAGGATTTCTCCCCCACATGCGCCGGCTTACCAGCCCTGTATTAGAGGGCAGGATCTTGCTGCCCCCTAAGCAGCCGCTTACCAGCCCTAAATATATGAGGCAGGAATCTCTCCCACAGCTTACCCACCCCGTATATGAAAGCAGGATTTCTCCCCCACACCTTACCAAGCCCTAATATATGAGGCTAGGATCTCCTCCCCCACAGCTTACCATGCCTGTATAGAGACAGGATCTCTTCCCCCCACAGTCCCTTACCAGCCCCTGTATAGAGGCAGGATGCTCTCGCCGCCGAGCCCTTAGCACACCCGTATAGAAGGCAGGATCATTCTCGCCAACAGCCCCTTACCAGCGCCCGTATATGAGGCAGGATTGCTGCTCCCCCACAAGCCCTTACCAGCCTCCGTATAGAGGCAGGATCTCTCCCCCCCCAGCCCGTTACCACGCTGTATAGACGCAGGATCTCTCCCGCCACAAGCCCTTACTGCAGGCCTGCGTATAGAAGGCGCATGAGGATCTCTCCCCCCCCCCAGCCCTTACCACCCTGTATAAAGGCAGGATCTCTGCCCCCACAGCGCCTTACCAGCTCCCAGTTAGAGCAGTGATCTCCTCCCCCCACAGCCCTTACCAGCACGCGTATAGAGGGCAGGATCTGCTCCCCACAGCCCTTACGCAGCCCCGAGTATAGAGGCAGGATGCTCTCGGCCCGCACAGTCCCTTTACCAGCCCTGTATACGAGGCAGGATGCTCTCCCGCCCCCCAGCCGCTTACCGCCCTGGTAATTAGAGGCAGGAACTCTCGCCGCACAGCGTTAACCAGCCCTGTATCAAAGGCAGGATGCTCTCCCCCCACAGGCCCGTTACCAGGACCGTAATAGAGGACAATCTCTCCGCCACCAGCCCTTACCCCACACCGTACTAGAGGCAGATCTGCTCCTCCCCCGCGCTACCACCCGCGGCCCTTACCCAGCCCCCGTAATCGAGGCAGGATCTCTCCCCCCCACAGTCCTTACCAGCCCTGTATAGAGGCAGGATCTCATTTCCCCCCCCCCATCGGCCCTTACGACAAGCCCTGTATAGAGGCAGGATCTCTGCCCCACACCGTTACCAAGCACCTTATAGAGGCAGGATCTCTCCCCACACGCCCTTACCAGCACACCGTATAGAGCAGGATCTCTCCCCCATCAGCCCTTACCGCATGCCCGCGTATAGAGCAGAATCTCATCCCCCACAGTCCTTTACGCATGCCCTGTATAAGAGGCCAGGATCTTCTCCCCCCCCCAGCGCTTACAGCCGCTGTATAGAGCAGGAACTCTCGCCTCCACAGCTTACCAGCCCTGTATATAGGCAGGATATCTCCCCCACGGCTGCCCACAGCGCCGTTCCCAGCGCCCGTATAGAGCAGGAACCTCCCCCACAAGCTTACCAGCCGCCATGTATGAGCAGGATCTCTCCCCCCACGAGCTCGGCAGCCCCGTATAGAGGCAGGAATCTCTCCCGCACAGCGCCTTCCAGCCCGCATATAGAGGCAGCATCTCTCCCCCACGCAGCCCTTACCAAGCCTGTATAGAAGCAGGATCTTCTCGCCCACAGCTTTACCAGCCCCGTATAAGAGGCAGGATCTCTCCCCCACACTTGCCCTTTTACCCGCCCCGTATAGATGGCAGGAATCTCTTCCCCCACAGCGCCCTTACCAAGCGCCTGTACAGAGGCAGGATCTCTCCACCCACAAGCTACCCAGCCACCGTATAGAGGCAAGATCTCTCCCCCCACAAGC